ATATGGCGGTAAACACACGCCTGCCCACACACGTTCTCTAAGCTGCAAAGTAAGTTCTGGCACAGAGCTCTCCTTCTCACCACCACCACCATCAGTTCGCGCCTGGCGCCTCGTCGATGCATGGTTGGCGGTATCCGACATAGCAGGCTGGTACATCAAATAGCGCATTACGTCATGGCACATAGAAGATGACACAGCAACGACATACATGTACATGTACATGTCGTCGTTTCGTCACCGCTGGACTCACCAGGCAATCTTCTTCTTGGATGTCTTCATACGGAGATTGACTCGGGAGAATGAAGTTGAAGACACCACTGCAGCTGTACTTATGGTTGATAAATATGGTGGTAAAGACATACCCGGCAATATGGCGGTAAACACACGCCTGCCCACACACGCTCTCTAAGCTGCAAAGTAAGTTCTGTACTACAATCATGTAGCACTCGTACACGATCAGAATGTAGTTCACTGGAAAACAGGTCTGTGTATAGTAGTGTGTAGGCGCTCACAACAATGTCATAAATTATTTACTCCAAAGTCATTTTGGAAAACAATTCATCGACAATGTCAAGGTGGATGGTGCATGAATGGTTCGGAATACATGTGCAACTCACATTTTCCAAATACACGTGCCAGTGGGTTCTGTACATTAGAGGTGCAAAAGCATTGATTTGATAATTATTTGATATTTATTATTTAAAGGATTTCCCAAAGGCATAGCCTATCGGGGGGATCTCCTAACAGTGGAAATGATCATTGATTCATATACTAGTGAAGCGACTTGTGCAGGCAAATATATGCCGCTTATAATGAGCGCGAAATTGTGTCCGAAATTCTGAAACAGAATTGAACTGATGAGTCCACAAAGGCCAAAATACCATGTACCATGTACCATGTACCATGTACCATGTACCATGTACCATGTACCATGTATCATGTACCATGTACCATGTACCATGTACCATGTACTCGAAGTACATGGTACATGGTACATGTAACTAACAACTTGTACAGCTAAAATGCCACTGACCAAAAAACAAAAAAACAAGAAAACAAACAAAGGACGAAATAGTTCTGTCTGCGGAGTGAGTGCAATTACCAGTATTGTAACTGTTTAATATGTACTTGTACACTCTGTAGGCATGGGCGGGTAATGCTAGTTATTTGCTGCGATAATTATTATTCGGGAGAATGAAGTTGAAGACATCCAAGAAGAAGATTGCCTGATGAGTCCAGCGGGGACGAAACGTACGTCGCAATCGAGCTATGTCGCTGCTGTGTCATCTTCTATGTGCCATGCACTACTTGATGTGCCAGCCTGCTATGTTGGATCAACCACACGCCAACCATGCATCGACTAGGCGCCAGGCGCGAACTGATGGTGGTGTTGGTGAGAAGGAGAGCTCTGTGCCAGAACTTTGCAGCTTAGAGAGCGTGTGTGGGCAGGCGTGTGTTTACCGCCATATTGCCAGGTGTGTCTTCACCACCATATTTATCAACCATAAGTACAGCTGCAGTGGTGTCTTCAACGGAGAGAAAAGAGCAGTACGTGGCATGTGGCCTCTAATTTCCTAAAAACTTTGAAATTCTCCGTGAAGTCCAAATTTGAAATTGCAATTAGTTATGCTATCAATAGCCTATCATGTACATAATCATTGTATTTGCTTCACTCCTTCAGTTCCAATGAATGTGTAGTTACAGTCAACTTCGCTAATAACAACTGCGGATATCGACAATTCGCGAATAACGACAGAATTTCCATGCCCAGAGCAAAGTCCCTTCCAACTGTATTTTAAATACAGTCATAATGAGACTTCGGGTATAACGACACTTCGCGAATAAGGACACTTTTTTGATGCCCCGCCGAATGTCGTTATAAGCGAAGTTGCCTGTACAGTCGACCTACCCTTATAACGATAACCCCTATAACGATATTACCCTTATAACGATATTACCCTTATAACGATATTTTTCTGCCAAACCAAATCACTCCATTGACTTTTGTATACAATGCCTTACCTCTATAACAATATTGCTATAACGATATTACCCCTATAACAATATAAATTGGGCTGACCAATCGACATTTTCCATTTTTATAACAATATCCTGCGAGGAATATGCACAGTCCACTGTCAAGGTAGGGCAAGCTTCACTTGATAAGTCGCTGGGACATGACAAAATGCAATTGGGGCACCAGTGGGCACCTTGCCATGTACATATTGTGCATGTACATAAGTTTTTGACTCTATGAAGAGTGTAAAAAATGAACGAAATTCATGCATTATGACGTACATGTACAGTATGTGTATGAATGAACCAGTTACCCTTATAACAATATTACCCTTATAACAATATTTCTTGGTCGGACGCAAATATCGTTATAAGGGTAGGTCGACTGTATGTACAACATGTAGAGTGTCATGTTTAGACAGTTTTCGGACAGGTAAGTACTAAATTACCAATCAAACTGTAGTGTAGGGTATTGTAGCATTGAGTTCACAGGAATCAAAGGCGCCTTACTCCTTTGAGAAAACATATCAGAATTACCGACAGGGCAAGGTCATATACCAGCCCAACGACGTAGATTGGGCCAATGCTGAAGTCCTCGCTCCGAACTCCGAAGGGTAACTTTAACTAAACGTTATACATGTAGACTACACGAGTACTAGTATCAGACATTGCGGTTTAACAATCATGTGATGAAGTGAGTTACATGTGGGATTTGCGAGCATACACGTACCTGTAGTAGGCCTGAATCAATTCATAGTGGCCAGGACTAGTGGCCAGGACTAGTGGCCAGGACTAGTGGCCAGGACTAGTGGCCAGGACTAGTGGCCAGGACTAGTGGCCAGGACTAGTGGCCAGGACTAGTGGCCAGGACTAGTGGCCAGGACTGCACAAGTAATCTCACTTTCCTGTCAAAACTGTCGTCTGCGGTATGACTCTTAGCGGTAGTCTCTCATAATAAGAGTGACAAACTAGGATTCCGTTATCACCAGGTTACACTCTCGCAGCTGTAAGCATGCACTGCAAAAATGCATGTCGGTCCGCCTCGTGAAGCTTGCATGTACTAGTACAAACAACGACGTTACTTTACATGATTTCGTTATCTACAGTCCTGATCGTACATACAGTCAATCTGTGGACAGAACTGTTTCGTACATACACTCATGTACTTTGGCTTGTTCGCCGAACTACTCGTAGGGCAGACCCGCGGACATGCCTTTCTGAATTTTCACACCCTACTCAGTGCATGAAACCCTGGAGCACACAGCCCGGCCTAATGTTCATGTTCCAAGCCCGCAATGAAAGAGCTAAAGCCTCTGCAAAGATGAAAGAGCTAAAGCCTCTGCAAAGATGAAAGAGCTAAAGCCTCTTCAAAGATGAAAGAGCTAAAGCCTCTGCAAAGATGATACAGTGGTCCCTCTATAATCCGGCACCATTTGTGCCACGAAAATCTGCTGGATTAGGGAGGGTGCTGGATTAACAAATCTGATCTACTGCTGCAATGTGCATGAAGAGGACATTTGGCTACTGAAAATTGTGCCGGTTTATCGAGGGTGCTGGATTATAAAGTGCCGGATTAGAGAGGGACGACTGTAGTTACTAAAGAGCTGTACTGAGCTGTACCGCTGCTCCACACTGCCTTTTCAATATCCACTGAAAAAAACAAAAAAAAACAAACACGAACATCCCAAGGATTACGTCATTATACCGGTAGTGCATGTATGAATTATGATGGACGTGCACAGCTGTGACCAGTGGACCACAGTCACCACACTCACTACAAAGACAAGTACCTTCTAAGTAATTAGTTCTAGACGTCTGAGAGTGAGCATCGCTTCAAAGCTTCCATGATCCAGCCTACACATTGATCGCTGAAAGTGACTTCTTACTTTTTGAAAGATGTATGAAATGGTGTCAACGTGTTCTCCAGATAAATAGTAAGCAACCTGGCTAATCCTTCCTTGAATTCTAATAACTATAGCACGGCGAGAATGTTACTTGTGCGGTACATGTAGCACTCAGCATGTGAATCAGATCAATCGCGATTAATTTAATGATCTGCACGGAATTACAAAATTACTGACCTCTGGAATCTGGGGTTCAGGAATTTCCAATTCTTTCAGAGGCAACAAGCTTGCCTCGGAGCGTTCAGCTGTAAATGCAGTACTGCTTGACGATAACCAGTCCAGGTTAGTGTTGGCATCTTCCAGACAGTCAGAGTACCGCACGGCCTGCCAGTATACACCACAACATGCTGTATCTGTGCGTTGCTCCCATGATTGCCAACACTCCAGCCTACACACTAGACTAAAGTAGTAGTGGCTACAGCTACAGCTAGCTACAGCTAGCTACAGCTACATTGTACATTGTACAGGTAGCTAAAATTAATGCAGTCCTGTCAGCATAAAATCATGTACATGTGTCATGACTGGATTGTGCTTCTCAAGACAAGACAAGTTGGTATTTTGTTCATGTCTATAATCATAACAGTCATGTGATGTGTTGCTGCAAGTCTACAATGTTTATACGAGCGGATTATGTACCAGGGGGACGTTTAGTCTCCAACGGTCTCTGTCTTCGCTGCCGGTTTGAGGTGAACTACAATTATGTACCGGTATTAGTATTGCTAGAAGCGCGATATACTGAATACGATGGGGACATACTCCAGATTTACACTGTAACCCTTCATTACTACACTACAGCCTAGTAGATCTACACCAGACTCTACAGTGTACTTTCACTCCTTACAATAAGTTACAATAAGTTACATACCTATCCATGATAATCATCGTGTAAAACAATTATTAGCTATGGAAAGTTTGGGTTGGCAGTGTGACACCACCGATTTTGCGGCGCGCATACAATGATACATGCACATGTGTGTGAGTCTGTGCACGCGCGCCCTGCACAGCGTGGTCATCCACAAGACCCTGGCTGGACAGATACATGGTATCTCTCCAGGCTATCGAAGGGGCCTGCGAAACCATCTCGGTGATGGTGAATACTGTACTCGACAGCTGCTGTGTGTTGGTTTTGTTGAGCCTAGGACTCCCTCAGGGCAGTTCTCAGTCCTGGGCCGCGCAGCCGAGGGGTAAACGCAGCTGAAGCCCACTACTACTAGTGCTATCTCTCTCTCTCTCTCTCTCTGTTGACACGAACCTTTCCAATACCAGTTTGACTGGGAGAGATTGAAGTCCGGGATTCATTTCCAACTCGGAATTTCAAAGACATTACGATATTTCTAGAGCCCTCCATCCCTCTCTCCCTGTACTGCCTTTATCCTGGAGCTGATCAATGAGAACGTGAAGAATGGCTACCACATCGGCTGCCTTGGAGCAGGAAAGAGCTCGTGCGAGAGGAGATGCTGTTGAGAAGGGACGTCGCGGCAAACGTCCTTCGCGCTTACCATCGGTCGGTCAATTCAAACGAAGCTTGAGCAGTCTGCGCCGCGGCAGCACACCTCGGTTGCAGAAAGTGGTTTTCCTGGGCGATGTGGAGGTGGGAAAAACTGCTATCATTTCGCGCCTAATAGGCGACTACTTCTCAGCGGACTATGAACCGACTATGGAGGAAATGCATGATTACAGAACCAACCTGCGGGGGATGGAGGAAACCGTGCAGATACTCGACACGAACGGAGATCCGTCAGAAGAGGTGGAATGCTTACGGGAGCGGGCAATTCGGATGGGTAATTCATTCGTGGTTGTGTTCAGCGTGCAGAAGAGCTCGACGCTTCGACGGGCCGCTGTACTGTTGGAAGAGATCTTCCTGGCCTCTGCAAACAGAGAGATCAAGCGAGAGGAGGTCGGCAGAGCAAGAAGAGTGGTGCTGGTCGGTAACCAAGCAGATGAGGAGGACTGCGGGGACCTGGATGATCGCATGGACGACGAATTATATCCGAGCGCTAGCGCGAGTCCTCGCCAGGTATCATCGAGTGAGGCATGGCAGCTAGCTGATGAGTATGGTATAGCGGAGTACATTGAGGTTTCAGCCAGATCTGGCCTAGGTGTCGATAGCATAATGCGCAGACTGGCACGGTTGTACCAGCGCAAGGTGGAGAAGGAAGACGAGGAAGAAGGGAAAACGTTCATGAAGAGAGTGACGTCATTCTTGCAGCCAACACGGAATGGCACTTCTGTGCGAGTGAAGAAGAAGTCGAGTCGCTCCACACAGCCGCCGGATGTATTGGTAGCATCACCAGATGAGAGAACCAGTACCCTGCCAAGACCAACCAAGACCACTCGTAGCAACAGCAAGTCTCCATCAGAAGAAGCATCCTCACCAAGTGAGGGTTCACCTCCTATGAAGCGAGGTGGACTACGCGCCAGTCTGGGGAAAGCGTTCGGGAAGCGGAAGCGGGCGCGTGACCGGTCAAAGGCCGCGACCACCGATAACTTGCCTTCTGGTCAAGACGCATCTATGCTACATTCGGCACTATAGCCCCCTCCTCTTCACACACACACACACACACACACACACACACACACACACACACACACACACACACACACACACACACACACACACACACACACGCACACACACACACACACACACCACAAACGCACACACGCACCACACACATATGCACACACACATGTACACACACACACACACACACACCTGGTCCTGGTATACACTGCCATGTAGGTCACGTGTTTCTCGTTGAGCGAGACGAAGACGAGAGTACACACACACACACACACACACACACACACACACACACACACACACACACACACACACACACACACACACACACACACACACACACCAGATACCCTGACCTTGGACGACAGTGAGCATTTTTGATTCTCTATATGAAGCTCACACGTTATGCTTTTATACTGTCGTGACCTCAGAGACAATGCCATGTTCTGATCCTCTCTTTTGATTGGAACATGCTTGAGATTCTACTGGTGAATTTGAGTAATCATTTCACACCCAAGCTGACGTGCATAATGGGAAATCTATTTGAGAATTACTTTGCCCCAAAATTGACGTAGCCCACTCTTAAATTAAGCTGATCTTGCCTCATCCTCCCCCCCCCCCCCCCCCACTCCATTTATGTTTACATTAAAAAAAGAGGTGCAATGTACTTATTTTTGGTTAGCGCTCAGTGACGGCCATTGATCGGATTGTGTTTCGACATTGGTGATCGATACCAGCAAACTTAATCTCCAGCACATTTTGCAAGGATGAAGCAATAATTTCAACGTTGCCAAAGCAGAATATGGGCTACCACTTTAACACGTGGATGGCAGTGGAAATGCAAAGGAGATGAATGACTGGGTATAAAGATTGCTGCCGGGGGGAGGGGGAAGGAATCAGCTGAGTGTTCAGTATGCATTGAATGTTGGATCAATTGTTTCACTTTGGACAATGGTAATCCCTCTGAAGCAGCTGGTGGCTAGTATAATTACAGTCCTAGCCAGAGAAACCTGACCTCATGAACAATACAGCACCAAGGGCTGGCTACATGGCCCTGCACCACACACACCACTCTGCAGACTTCAGCACGGCGCGGCTGTATTCACGAGGTCGGATTTTTCTGGCCAGAACTAAACCTGCCCAGCACATTATTATTATTGAGATCACACATAATTATTTCAAACCGGCTTCAATTCCATGTACTTTAGGCACCCTGCAACCTGAACTACAGTAAAACCTGTAACTAACGACCACCCCTTGGTGCCAGTAAAAGCGGTCTTTAGTGGCAGGTGGTCTTTAGTTAGAGGTTTGCACTGCGCGATCATATATGGATCCCGTATATGATATGTATGTCAAAATGCAGCTAATACGATTTCCCAGGACTTGCGCAATGCCATTCTTATTTCAGGTCAAACAACACTTGGAGAGAGAGAGAGAGAGAGAGACAGACGGAGAGAGACAGAGGGAGAAGACTACTTTTTGCAGACATCAAATTCAGCTGCTACTTCTGAAACCAGGAGTCAAACGTTCCCTGTAGAAGTTTCGTCAAGTTTTACGCTGGGCTTCAAATTTGTTCATGTGATCAATCGTACCGACTGTCCGTGTTGTAACTTCTCGATTGCTTGAACGCGATCCTTCAGCATCAGGACCTTGCGGTGCTGCTTTGTTTCTGGATTCCTTGATGCCATCGTCGATTTGTCTGTATGACTGGGGTGTCAGAGCCGCTCTGTCTTCGTTTCTCCTCCAAGTAGTAACATCGATTAGAGAGCGCTTTCGATGCGCTCTCCAAGACGTTTCCTATCGTGTTTATTCTTGACAGAGCTTGAAATTTGGACAGGTGTAGTGTAGTCCACACCGATTCCACAGTCAAAATGACCTGTGTTCATTTGTTCAGCTGTAGTATCGAAAGAGTCCTTTCAGGACCATGGAAAATCAGCAAATTTTCAGGAAGGAGCTTCGAGCAACATTTGATTTCGTACATCGCGGTCGCTAGTTACGGGTCAGTAATCGTCTTTGGGGCAAGAAGAGGCGGTCGCTGGTCGCGTTCAGCAGGTAGTCGCTAGTCACAGTGCATTTTGAATGTGAGACCGTCCGTGCCTGGCGAAGTGGTCGGTAGTACCAGGCTGGTCGCTAGTCACGGTGGTCTTTAGTTACAGGTTTTACTGTAGTTCCCCTTGTCAGTCCCACAGTCATAAAAACTCTTCTTTGCCATACTTCAGAATACTTTGCAGGATGAAAATACTCCAATAAGTCTGCACAGACATGTGTGTGCGTGTGTGTGTGTGTGCATGTGTGTGTGTGTGTGTGTGTGTGTGTGTGTGTGTGTGTGTGTGTGTGTGTGTGTGTGTGTGTGTGTGTGTGTGTGTGTGTGTGCTGGTGTGGGTAATAAAGGATCCAGGACGTCTCGAATTCGAACATTCAAAAATGGCATAATAAGGTTGATGGTTCCCAGCTGAATAGATAGCATGATCAAAGTTCTCAAGGTAGGTATTGGCGAATCAAGCTCATCCCCAACAAACAGAAATTGTCTGTAATTGGACAACTCTGCGGGGAAAGCATCTCTCGAACTAGTGCACAATCAGTCTCCTCAGTCTGTTCCTGGTTTCTTGTGGCGATTGCGGCCTCTCTGAGAATGAGCGACGGGTGCTGCAGGTGAGCATGACACAAGCACAGCAATAGGAATATGCAGTTCTAAGAGAAAGAAACTCAAACACTGAGCCGAATGAAAATAGATCAGGTCATTGAATGTCAGTAGAGTCATATCTCGTTTATCCGGTCCTTTTTTATCCGGATCCCTCGCCATCTGGAAGAAAATAGCTGGTTACAGATTTACAGCATACGTGATGCATCCAACATAACCAGTGTTCGGCTATCCGGTTCCCTCGCCTATCCGGATGTTTTTGTGGCAAACGGATGTGTGCTGTTGAGCGAGGTCTGACTGTATCACATCAGTCAGTATTGTGCTAGTTGTTGCACCTTCTGACTACACAACATCTTGCTTATAACTGTGAGTGTTTAACACAAATTACAGATAACATGTAACATTTTGGTAATTCTTTTAAATTGTAAAATTGAGAAGGGATTTTTGCCTGGAGGGAAGCAAACTAACACAAGTAGCCTTTCCTACCATTATATATACTCTTCAAGTCTATTACAGTGGTGATAAGGGCCGCAGCAAACAAGTCCTTATACTTGGCATTTTGGCGGTCAGAGCAGCGACATAATAGCACCTAAGAAAGTACTACAAATGTAGTAGCGCCAACTATATAGTGAAACAATCAATACACAGCGTACTATGGGGCATATGGTGCTACATTGCCAAAACAGTGACAACTTTTGCACATACTTCTTCTGCACACATACACACAGTTCGGGCTCTTGTCACCGCTGTGTGCGGCTTGAAGAGTAATCATGGGTACAAAAGGCCTCGTCGAAACTATAGAGGGTTGCGATTAGATCACCAATTGAGAGGCTTTGGCGAAATCACGGACTAATGCACGCATTAGAAGATCCGCTGACTCACGCTGTATACTTCGCCCCGTTAGAATATCCACTA